CAGGGGGTGCACAATGCAGGCGTGGCTCACTCCAGGCAGCAGAAGGGCATAGCCTCCACTCCCAGTGTTGCTGCACCCACATCAGTGCTGGGAGCAGGGGTTCTTCTCTTTCGCCGCTTGCCAGCAGGCGCAGAACATGCAGGATGTAGGCATGATGGCTCTGGGAGTAGGGGCTGTGCCCTCCTGCTGCTGCCCCCTTCTGCCTGGAGCGAGCCTCATCTGCATCCCACCCCGTACCACCCTGGCTGGGCAGGTGGCAGCAGGGCAGATCCCCAGCTCCCAGTGCTGCTCCTCCCCCATCCCTCACCCCCGCCCCCCCATTTGGCAGCTTGTTCCAGCCCCAATCCCTCCCTCCCCCAAACTTCTTCCCTTCCCCCAACCCCAACAGATTTACCAGCTGGAGGCAGCTGTCAGCTGCCTGTTTAGTCTGTGGCTGAGTCTCCAAACCGGCTGAATCTTTTCCGAATAAATTTGGATGCTTCCAATTGATTTGCAGCTTTTACTTGGTCTCCCGATTCTCTTCAGATTCAGAGTTTCGGTCCCTGATTTGGGATGAATGTCCTCTGAATCGAATCAGCTACCAAAGCTTTGCACAGCCCTAGTGTTCAGTGCAGCAGCTGAAGGAGGAGCACAAGTTCACTGTGCAGTGGTGGCGTGGGATGCCCACGTAAGGCAGCAGGGCTATCCATGCAGCATGCAGCTTGGGTGGGGTGGCTTGCGCTGGTGTAGCCCACAGGGCATGGTCCCCAGTCACATAGAAGTTGGACAGCCCTGAGTTAAAAGCTGAGTCCATGAGAGGGCAGAGTTTTTCCCCGTGTATCTCTGCTGTCACCTTAAAACCAAGATTGAAAATTCAGTTGGTTATGAGTTAATTTTAGGCTTAATTTATGAATATTTACACAGGACTTTGAAGATATAAAAATGATAAGAGTAAGTACTATTATTATTACTGAAACTATGAAAATCCACTTGAATCATGTTTTATTCTTTTGCAATTGTCTTGTTTTGACTGTAGTAGCGGTGTAGTTTGTTAAAGTCAAGGACTCTTAAAATAAATCCACGTAGCCAGATTTTTATGACAATAAACCAGTCCTCCAAATATTCTTTGCTTGATTAAAGTAGGTTTTCAGCTATCAGTCATCTTGACAATAATCTTCTCATCATCCACTTTGAAGCATCTGGGAGACCTTATTTCATAAAACTGGCTTCTTATCAGGAGTGAATGAATCTTTCATTTGACACTATAGCCTTTTTGCATCACAAAGAACTATATCAAAATGAATATTTTAATGGTGACATGGTTC